TGCTGCCGGCCGCGCTCAGGTGCACACCCGCGCCCGCCCGCGGCCGCCGCCTCCTCCTCCTCCTCTCCTCCCCTCCCCCGCGCAGCGCCGTGCTGCCGAGCCAGCTCCGCCCTGCTGCTGCCGCGCCCCGGGCAAAGGTCCGGGTAGCAGCACTCGCGCGGGGGCTCGCACCGTCCTGCCGGCGCCGAGCCCAGCGCCGCTGAAGCTGCAAAGTGCCCCTGGAAGTGGCCGTGGAGGCTGGATTCCTGCCTGGAAGGGAACTAACGCCCTTTCCCCGCCCAAGTGGGCGCCCCGCTCCGGATCCGCAGCTAGTGCAGCTGCTCGACTCGCCCTCTCCCCCCTCTCCCCACGCAGCCGGCCGGCCCACGGGGGGTGGATTCCTGCGCTCGCCGAGGTCCGGGATCCTGCACACGCCTACAGTACAAACAGCCTCTCTAATTGCTTGCCCCTGTGTTTACCGGGTTGTCAAGCGTTTCTCTTACCTCTTTCTTTGTGTTTGTACTTCTCCTATTACAAGGAAGCCTGCCTCTAAAATCATAATAATAGGTATGGGCCTGATGTAAACAGTAATTAGCATAATAAAATCACTTGGATCCATGCTTTCCACTTATTCAGCAAAGATGAAAAGTGGAGGAAGTGGAAATATGGATAACCGTGTGCTCAGAAAAATAATGGAGGTACCTGAAACTCATCCAGCTATGTACAGAAAGTTGAAAACAAGTACTCCTCCTCCCCTTTCAACACACACATACACACACCTCCCTTCTCCCCCAGCTCCAATAACATTTTAAATTGAGGGAAATGTAATCCCTGAAATGTTGCAAGTCTGTTTATAGGGTTACCTTTTAAAAGCCATTTAGCTTTTATCTGTTCTATTTCACATTCACTAGAATTTACAAGGGTTTTAAATTTTGTTCCTGAAGTGGTTCTGTTCAGTGCATAGAACAGGATGTATGCTTCAGAAAGAAGAAAGAGACTGTGCTGGGATTTATTTGATAATATTTATTAAAATTGGTCTAATTTGCAGAATATGGTTCAAAGCAAAATGCATTAGACACATAGCAACTCATGCTCCTTCCATTAATCCAGTAGACTCATAGATTTCAGTGGGAACATATGTAGGCCCATGTAACAACAGCAGCAACAACAACAAAATCATTTAGTGACTCAGTTCTCAGCACAGTCCCACTGTGGTCTATGAAGCTATACTGGATTACACCACTTGCCAATGTGGTCCACTGTCTGCAATCAGTGTTTTAACTGTGAAAAACAGAACTAGTGAACCCTTTTTTCACAATATTTTTGCTAATCCTTTTTTTGTGAAAAGATAATTAAGAAGTTAGATACAGTTACAGATTCATTGGCAGGAATTACCCAGGCTGTGGCAGAAGGAAACCAACTAGCATCTCTACAGTCAAGAATTTATAAGAGATTATTGTAAACCTTTATTCTCAGGGGTTTCCACTTTCACACAGACCCCTATTTACTCGAAGACAAGTTTGCCTGTCATAGGATCCTGGTGTCAAAAAAAACGAAACAAACCGTGTGGCACATGTGGCAGGAGAACATGCCACCAGAAGAGGAGCCTCCTTGGTCAGAGCCATGCTCTTGGCTGCTGGCCAGGCTCTTAGGCTAAGTACAGACAGTCAAAAACCCTAAGGCTGAATCGATTCAGTCTTTGCTGGTTAGTTTAAACTGCAGAGATTAAAGTGAAACAGAAGTGAACAGACATTTCCTGTTCATTCAGGGAATGCAGGACAGCCACAGGCCTGCTGGGCTCAGGCTAGAAGCCAGGGGGCACGAGAGCATGGCTCTCTGGCTGAATGTTGACTTCCTTTTCCTGCTGCCCCTGGGGTCTGGGATTTGCAGTCCAAAATTACAGCAGCACGACTCTGCAGGGTTGCACATCACTTCTTCTTCTTGCTTCCAGGTGCCTCTGGGATTTGTAGCACACAGTTGCAGCCGAGAATAAATTTGGATGGGGGAAGGGGTGTTTAACCCCCGCGCCCTGGGCCTAGACCCCAGCTAGGGTTTGCCCGGGGGTAGTCCCCCCCTGTAGATGGGCTGCATCCCCAGCTGGATTTGCCCCCCCCCCCCATTGTCAGCCAGCCCTCACTGCTCCAGCTAGGGAGCAGAGGGGCAGGGCCAGTTCTGCTCTGGAGCAGATAGCACAGCTAGCCCAGGGCTGAAAAGCATGCTGGGGGACTGTGATTTTACTTGAACAAGTAAGGGATCTGGGACAGAAGTTTCATAAACCGGTTTGAACCGCATCAGTTAAGTCTACATTCAGCCAAATTTATCTTAAGCCAGTTTCAGCCATTTTGAAACTGGTTTATATGCACTGAGCTTCTATTCTGGTACAGGTTTAAACCAGTTTCTGATCACTTAAACTGGTTTATGTGTAACTTCTGTCCCTAGCCTTTAGTGGCCAGATTGGTGCTGCTGCTGCCCTGGGAGGACCCCAGGTAAGGCAGCCAGTGTCAGCCCAAGTGCTGCCCCCAGCCTCCCCTACTCAACCTGGGTCACTTTGTTGTGTGCAAGGGCATGCCTCAGGGACAGACAGCAGCAGCACAAATATGTGCCATGGCTCTTTGTCTCATGGAAAACACATGCCCCTGCACGTGCGCGCTTATCAGGGCGTACCCAAAAGGTTTATATGACATTGGCCATGTTGTTTTAGGACCTCACTATAAATGCTTTATCAAGTAAGCAGTTCCATCATCATCAGTGGAAATATTGACATAAATACTTCAGAACTGGGCTCACAGGTACAGAAATTGAGATGTTATTTATTTGCTACTCCCTTCACAAGAGAAGAGGCCACTGGCTTGGACATCCTAGTCTGCCCCTCTAATTTGTGCAGTAGGTATATTCATTTAATTCCCTCTAGTACCTTTAGCTGGAAAGGGCTTGCATAACCACAGGTAGTGAGCTAATTTCAGTTAAGGAAACTGCTTTCAATATGGGAGGACTGCACAATATGTGAGCATTAAGCAAGACTTATGATGTCTTCACCTGTGGACTTTTGGTCTGTGTGTGAATTTCAGGTCATGCATACTGCCTACCCAAAAAACAGTTTGTTGCATTAAGACAGTGAAATTATATGCGGTGATTTTGGATACTTCATATCTTTCATTTTTTCCCTTCAGCCCTTTTTTTCTGAAGAAGGGCAGCTTAGGGCTTGTACCAGTGCTGCCAGTTTAGCAGTTTTGGGGTACCTAGAAACATTTGGGGGTTGTTAGCAACAAAAATTAAAGATCTTATATTAACTTACTATTGTAACACTTGTAAATTGGATGGTGACATTTTGGATTATGCTAGAAGGTCTGCCTAATGACATGTAGCAACTTCTTGAGGTTTGTCTAGTGAATTTTTGCTTTTAGAGGTTGGCAACCATGGCCTACAGTAATGACATAATCTTGGCCATAGCAGCTAATTATGGTACCAAAATCAATGCCTTCAATTGTGGGATAAGGAACAAAAGATCCCATGTTTATTTAAATGTCACTAATCATTTCAGATGGTTTATGGGAAGTAGGTGCATCTCAACGTGTCTATTCAACTGTTTGTGTTATCTAGGAACTAGAACAGGCTAACTTCTTATACATTTAAATTAGTAAACAAATGCATGTGGAACAATTATGGAAGGGAAATATGCAAGTTATAACATGTACACAATATCATATCTAGGAAGAACTTTTGCAAAGCTTTTATGAAGCAAATACAAAGTTGTAAGAGAAGATATAATAGTTTAATTACAAATTTCTCTGCCTTGGTTATTTTGTTGATTTCAAATACTTAACACCAGTGCCTTTGTTTTACATATATAAAATTGTCAAAGTATTATTGTTTCTTTATGCATAAGGTTTATAACACACGTGATTTTTGAGGGAAAAGTCAAACATCCCACAACTTTGTTTAGTAAAACAATCAAAGAAAGTATTATCATCATACTGAATGAAATTCAGAGGAATACCTTACATGCCCAAAATGGGGCTTAGGTGGAAATTAGGTGTATACAGTGCATCAGAGCAGCCTAGACACACATGTATAGATGCCCTAGATACCTAAATAAAAAAATATTGATCCAGAAAACTTCTACTCCAGTAGCCACAAAATCCATTAGGGCAAGGGACAGACATTCAAAAAGCCTGAGTCTGAATTGATTCAGTCTTTGCAGGTTAAACTAACCTGGCTAGGCTGAACCAGTTTGTAACTGGACAGACATTCTCTCTGGACCGAAGAAATTCAGGCACATGCCTGCAGTGGCTAAGGCTAGAAGCCAGGGGGTGCTAAAGCAGCCCTCCCTTCCCTTGTAAAGTGTTGAGCAGAGGGGTGCATGGCCAAGCCCCAGCAGGACACTTTGATTAGGGAGGTCTGCCTGCACCATCCCAGGCTTTTCCCTACTAGCTACTCAAGGGCCAGGAGTGTTGTCACTCTGAGGCAAGGGGCGGGGAGGTGTGGAGTGCATGTATCTGTTGATAATTCAGCTTTTCAATCTCCCTCTCTGCTTCTTTATACTGTCTGCAGCAAATTAGCAGTGGGCTGATAACTGTGTTTATCACCCTATCAGCAAAACAATAGCCTCTCTCCATTAGTTCAAACTCTTCTTAAACAGCTTACCAGCTGACTTGTTGATTAGCTTCAAAAAGCCCTAAGTGGTCACTCTTCCGTCTGCATGTCCCAGTGAAATTGGAGAGACACACACACAGATACCTCTCCACATTAGCTGGCATACCACATGCCTAGGGTCTGTGGGGCTGGGGTCCATGCTGTGGGAGATGAGAGGGGAGGAAGAGGGGGGTGGGA